TTCTTAGTTCATTGTTGTTTGATAAATAAAACTGGTGTTAGGATCTTTGGTGTGATTCCCCTTAATCCTGGCCTGGGAATCGGTGAACCTGAGTCATTGACCTGAAAGCTCGGGATGTGAGAGGGCCCCAGAGGTGGACACAGTGCTGCAAGCGGGGTCTCAGGAGAGCAGAGCAGAGGAGGAGAATCCCCTCCCTCCACCCGCTGGCCACACTTCTTTTGACGTAGCCCAGGGTGTGATTTGCCTTCTAAGCTGCGAGCACACATTGCTGGCTCCTGGGCAGTTTTTCATCCACCAATCCCCCCAAGTCCTTCTCTGCAGGGCTGCTCTCAATCCGCTCACCGCCAGGTCTGTATTTGTGTTAATGTCCTGATTAGGTACATCATGAAGCAAAGCTGGTTAGGACAGTACTAATATCCTATAATTCATTGCATATTTAGTCATTCTTCGGTTCCCATTTATAAGGTTGATGTTTCATTCCAGTGGGAGTCTGACAAACTTTCAGATGAAATGAGATATGCGCATGTACCGATATTGGTACTTTATGTTGACGTTCTATCTAACAAGGCTTTTGTCATGTATCAGATCTCATTTTTTTCATGTATGTGACAAAAATTCATGTAGTGAATTCTAAAATATACTTCCCTGAACCCCACAGTCCAGATGAGAGAGACCATGAGAGGACAACAGACAGTCTTTTGTTCCACTGGTAATCTTATGATTGTGTTATCCTGTATATGCAAAATAATAAACTATTTTTACACTGTGACAACAGAATAATGCAGAAGTTTTGAGAAAATCAAATGTATCAGCTTTTGATATCCTCTTCTAGCTCCCAAACATATGTACATATAAGGAAAAATATTTTAAATCATATGACATATAGCATGATAGAAAAATATTATATTACAAAACACAGTTACTAAGTATTGGGGGTCACTTCCTATAAAGGCCCCTTTAGTCATAATGCACCCAAATGATTCTTAGCTCTAACAAACCAAAAGGAATAAAGTCAGTTTACTGAGTTCAATTCAAATATAAGTGAATCTTTCTCAAAATACATCAGTCTCAGTCCAAGAGTTTTATTCTAAACATCTAAACTTCGGGGTTTGGGGTTTTTCGTAACTTAAAAAACTTCTCAGCAGTTAACTGTGTTAAACTCTGGCTGTTGTCTTCTTTGGACTAACAGTTATTTACTGAAACAAAACCTTCTCTTCAGGTTTCTGCTTGTTTTAGTCTCATGGTAAAAAAGAAAAAAAAAAGAAAAAAGGGAAAGGGATTTTAGAAAAGGGAAAAGGAACAAATGGTTGTCAAAATCTAAATATTAGAGTATTACTAGATTACAGCTTAGGAACTGACTATGTCTATTAAAGAGTGTATTACCCATCTAAGTTACTAGAAAAACGTGCACCAGTACTTTGCCAAATTGATTTTATCTAAAAGCCCTAAAATTTTTATAGCATAGCAACTGCATACTAGTCATCAACATTTCAGAAGAGCAACAGGATATTTCAGGAGCCTGCTGGAAAACACAAACAAATCTACTGCAGTTTGTTTTTCTAGATATGTCTCATCCAGTACTCAAAGTCAAATTACAGTTAAGCGCAGTTAACTGCGACCTGAAAACAATTCTTAACTCTGTTTCTTGGAGTCCATTTCCCATTTCACTGTAAGGCAACTTAGAATTATATTAATTGCAATGATATTTTGTCACAAAATGCTTTATTCTATGAAGTTGTGAAGAACGTGCTGAATCTCAGGTGAATCTATCAAAGAACTGAGCCAGTGCCCTAGAGATCCTAACACCTCACCAAAGAATGACAGTAACTCATCACGTCTTTGGCAGTAATTCATATCCTTTGATGGAGAAAGAAGACGAGGTAAGATCTCTTTTGCACAGAAGACTCATTTGGAGCTGAGAATGCGTGAACTGGAGTATCTATTTGTGAAATGATACGAATAAAGAATGAACAATGTAGAATCAAGTGCATTGAAAGGCAAGTCATGACTGAATCTATGTGAAGATGTGAGAAAGTGAAGAAATTGTGTAAGAACAGGCTGTGTGCAAGTAATATGACATTTCCATTAAAAATCGGGGAAAAAAATTCAGCACTAAGAGTTTTCAAGTATACATTTCTGCTAAGAAGCATCTTTTTCTTCACCCTAAGTCTGCATGTATTTTCTCACATCTCTGCACGTAGAATAGTTAATTGATATTTTAACTCTGTGTGTCATAATATTCCAGAACCTACTGAATCTACATGACTCAGTAGCTCATTGCTTAGTTCTCATAAATGGCATCTTGATCATGACCAAACTTCATAAGTAATATGGATCTTTAATAAAACCTACACGCTAGAATCTTCAGCAAATAATCCAAATAGCACATGCATCAAGAAGAAAACACTTGGAATTTACTTGGAAATGTGGCCCATTTTATTTTAACTGAGAAGCATTCACTATACAGTGCAATCAGTTCTTTGGTAAATTTACTGATTAAAATAAAAACAACAAAGACTTTGTTTTAGGTAACATTAAAAAAGAAAATAAATATGTAAAATTTGCAACATATTACAGCAATATTTTCACAGTGGACACTGAGGAAATGGTTATCTAGCCATTGGCCACTGTTTAAGAAATGTTAAAATCAATGCTGATTCTGAAGACATTGCAATAAAACTGAATTAGTACAACCCATGACTGATATATTTTAAACTGCTGATAAAGACCTGTTTTTCCTGAAAGGTTTATAATGAGAAGGATGGTGGAAAATAAGTCAGTATTACAATTGTTTAAGCACATCCAGACCCCTAAGTCCTTTTTATATATCATATGAATAAACAGTAAACAAGGAAGAAAACCTCCCACTTTACTCTGGAGGCTGCAGAAAAGGAACGATCAGATATAAGGTACTATTTTATAATGTATAAATGGGAACTCATTCCTCCTGTAAGCGGAAATCTTGAGAAAGTTTATTTAATATAAAACTGGAACAAAAGAATGTAAGTAGTAACCAGCTGGACCTATTACTGCCTTTTTTAACTGTTTAGACAGTTAAATTGTATTTGGTTTAGCTCTGCAGTCCTTTCTCTTTGAGGAATTCCTGCTACAGGTCAACGGGAGTTCCATCTGAGTTGGAATTACAGGACGAGACATGTGGTTTGGACTCTCAACAAAAGTCAACAAAATACCAGAGTATCAAAGACATACAGGAATGACAACCTCAAGGAACCATATGATACTCAAACATGCTCGCCACACACAATTTCTAAAGGTATTAACATAGAAAATTACATAAGTCAAAACATTGTATATAAAATTAATTAAAATATTCTTAAAAATATAAATTGTAGTTCCATGTGTACCTCTACCACACACCTTTAACACACCACTCACATGTACATATTGCTCCTACCATAGAATGAAACAATCTTCTGTAGTAAGCTTTACAGAAACCCCAAAGTTTGAATGTGTGCCATGGTATCAGTTTATCAAATTAGAAATTATTCATGTTAGTAATCAGAGACATTATGTGCCAAAATATTATAGTGGAACTCATATTTCTGTGCTAGGTTAGTTATTAGACAGGTGTTTGATCTACCATGCAATAATTAAATACTCAGTCTGTTTGCATAATCTGAAACACTTAAGCATTGTTTAATGTTTAATTCTGCTCAGGTTTCTTTGATACTCAAATCTCTGTTCCCTAAATTTGAACAATAAACCAAGAAGTCAGCAAACTATACAACAAACAAAGAGCTTTGGTTCTAGTTAGTCTTGACTTAGGATTTAAGGGTGAAGTCATAAATTCTAACATATTAAGTATTCAGGGGAAGAATCAATTCTGAATAAACACAAAAAAGCTGTAAAATGAGGTATGATAGTTGTCCTTCACTGAATGTAATACATAATTCCTGGTCAAAAACATGTAGTTTTTATTCTAAAAAGTACACAACTTCAAAATGGTAGTGTAGACATATATAATGTTAAACATTTAGTAGGTGGGCAAAAAGTCCATTGGCAGACCATTTTTAACATGAATGATAAAAATATTGAGGTAAAAATATATATGCATTAGAGGAAACTGGAAAAAAAACCCCCTAAAGTCAAATAACTTGTCAGAAAAAGTAGTCAATCCACAACTAATCGTGATGCTTGATTTTGACTGTTCTTTTTTTCAACAAACAGTGCCACAATATAATCAGGAACATATGTCTATTGACAATATGCACAATGAATCAGTAGGAAACTTTCTTTACAAAATGGCATGTAACATCTTTTCACATTTTCTAAACAGGGCCATACAAGTACGTGAGCTGATCTGAGATCAAGAGAAACATGCTTTAAAACTGGACTGGATGGTCATGCTACAATGATTTAAAATAAATGAAACAATAATTAAAAAAAAATGTTGCCAAGCAATTACATATGTTTTGACAAAAAAGATCACATACATTTGAAGATTATACGCTACTCTGTTATTGTATGTTTCCTTAGAATGAGAAAGACTGTCAATTACCTCTCTAATATACATTAACTTGTTTTTAGTATCTTCCAATTACATTTATTGATATTTGCTAACTAATTCCAGCTTTTTTGGTTTGGAAATTCGGATCAGTTTTGCTCCTTCAAGTAAGGAAAGGATGTTGAAGAGTGTAATGTAGGTTTATTTCCTTGCTGGTCCGGACGCAGAAACGATTCTGTGTGATACAACAGAATTTCTGTGCATAGGTGTATGCAGAAACTGGCCCTCTATGGCGATGCTTTGGGCACAGTGACCTCGTGTTTTCCTTTTCCCTGCATTTACTAAATCGTAACAAAGAGCTAAATATCAAGTCAGACTGGTACTGAAAAGGGAGAGTAAACTTTTCATGTTGCTCATTCAAGATAGGAAACAAAGTGTTCATTTTAGAGTAAGTCTTAAGTCCAGTCATTTTGGGTACCTAACACTACCTGACAGTGTTCTTTTAAAGTAGCACCAGTTTGAGTTTGTCTAACCTGAGAAGTTTAACACACAATTAACTTTGTCCTGTTTGCTAATTTCCCTTTCATTAATTTTTGCATTGTGATTACCTTCATGGGCAGAAAATAAAACGTTATACTGCTACAGCACCATTAGAATATTGTAAATCTTGTTTTCTTGCCACTGCTAAGACTGTAGTTACCTGTTTTTGCCATCAGCAGGCATTGATATGATTTGAGGAGGGCGCACCCTAAATTCTTAAAAAGCAGACTTATGGCTTCTTTTTATTAATATTTTGTTTTAAGCAGACTGGACAGCAATCTCCTTTAACCTTCACAGGCGCTTCGCAGTCAGCTGGCGGGCAGGATTCTACAAAACAGGTAATCTGACCGACCTGTGTCAGGTAACAAAACCAGAATATACTTAGCTACATGTTCCAAACATGAAATACATTTTTCATATTACTGAAGAACGCGTTTTTATTCACCCTCTCTAAGATCTTGGCTAGTATGAATAACTCCACATGGATTATTTCAGTTATAAGCTTTTATTGAGAAGGTTCTTTTTATTGTACCATCTATAATGGAGCAGTATACTATTTTATCTAACATTTAGGCATGAAACTCTGGGATACCAAGTACTGACTTATTTCTTTTACTACCTTTTTAAAAATTCCACTATGACAAAAGCAAATGGAAAGCTAGCACCAAGTTAGATGAGCTTTTAATGATTTTTAAGCATTTTACCAGACTTTTTCAAGAATTCCCTCACTATGCAGTTAATTTTGCCAGTACAACTATACAACAATGAAAATATAATTAAAAGCATATAAAGGCTGGATTGAAAACCCCTGCTAAGGGCAGCGATATCTGAACAGTACAATCTCTTGCACCAAATAACTGAAGATCCATAAAAAAAGCAATTAGCAATAATTACCCAGAAATTAGCAGGCACAAAACTGGAACTGCTGTAAGCAGAACCTCATATAATTTCTATCTCAAAACAAATTTCCACAGACTTACCTTGCATTCACACACAGTGCAAGGGTCCCTTTTCCAGGTTTCATTGCTAGAATATGATTTACCCTTTTCATCAGTGCAATCAGTTTTACTGAGGCGTGATTCAAGTTTTTTTATCTGAAAACATTAAAAAAAAGTTAATAACCGAATCAAAGAAAGGTTTTTATTTGTGCAAGGTATTCTTTCTTTTCATTTATGCTACATAATCCATGATAAATACTTGTCTGGTTTTTTTTTCCTTCACTACTCTGTCATAATGCTAAAAGATTGAAAACAGTTAATACACACGGAAACAGACGTCCAGAAGAAAACTAAGAGAAGGTGCATCTTTCCTACCATTGGAATATACAACCAGAGCACACACAAAGAAGCAAACTGCATATGACATGCATGGAAAGACAAATCTAAACTTTTAAAAATGTATGAATGAAAATGAGGTGAAATTAAAAAAACAACAAAACCAAACCACAATTATAAATGTTTGCTTGGATTTGTTTACAACCTCCATTTTTTCCCTAATGACAGAAAAAGGGGGTTATATGATTGGTTTATCCTGCTGATTGTGTGCTTCTTGAAAATAGTAATTAGAAGGCACAATTTTTAACAATCCCTCAATCTCTTCTGCACCCAAAAAAAAGACAGAACTGACTGAAATGTAATTAGTCTTAAAATAGTGTTTCCACTCTCAAAATGGAAGCATTGAAGATGAGTACAACAACGATTAAAGAATACCATCAAAGATGGAATCAAGTTACTAGGCAAATAAAAACATGATTCATATCTATAAATTACATGGAAAAGCTGCTCTGGAGGAAATTACTTATACCAGAGAAACATTTTAGCCTATTTTGAATTTGTCTGTCCTGTATGGTATGTGTTTTTAAAAATTAATTCCACTGTGGCTGAGTTATTTGGAATAAAGAGTTTATTTACACCACACTGCAAAAGGCTTCCTTAAGTTATCTAGATCTTAACTATGTTTAAAGCTGTAATCTGGCAGATTACTTCTTCTGAAGTCTACATTTTAATCATAATTTTACAGAGATTCTATACACTACAGAAGAGAAAAAAACTTTCATTAACTCTACAGACAAATTTTTAGAGAACGACTAATTCCATGTTTAGATGGTTACGCAAGACTTTGGGTTCAAAAGTCAAGAGGGTCTAATTGTAGCATATTTCAACATGATTTCAAAAGAACATAGAAATAAAGAACAATAACAGACAATGTTCTGTGTTGTGTTTTGTCTGAGATACGGTGGGGTTTGGCTGCAGTCGATGTCTAGATATTAAAAACATAAGAGGACTGATGTTAGGAAAACATTGCAAATTAGAAACTATCCACCATTACCTGGTTTCTGAGGCTTGAAATAGTTTTTTGCATTTCCAAAACAAACTCTTTGAAGTCATTCACTGCGGGCGTGTTTGTATTTTCATTAGATGCTGATGTGGCGTTATGAAAGTATTTACTCTGTTTCATAGAACTGCAACAAACAAACACCAAGTCAGGATATTCATCTAACTCATTTTTATTTGCTAGAACTTTAGAACACTTTACAAAAATGTAAAAGAAGAATAACATTTGTTAATGTAGGAACTGTATGAACTACAATAGCACAGAAGACCCACTGTTGCTAAGACATACTCAGGTCAGGTGAACTGGGGATTACTGTTAGTTGATACTGTTAGTTGATACTGTTAGTATCAACAGCAACAGGGAATTTCGTTTACTTAGAAAAATAATGTATGTATTTCATGCAAAGGGATACACAGAGTTGTTATATGTGACACTGTAGAGCATCACCTTAAATATACTGGGATATTTCTTCAGCTTCTAATATGAAAGCAGACAAAAGTGAAAGTCTTAAAAATTGTTACTTCCAAACACAAAATTCACATTTTGCATTCAGTTTCTCCTTGTACTCGTTCATTATCAAAACGTGTATTTAAAGAGTTATGACTTTGAAAAGGAAAAAAACAGTTTTCATAAATAAAAGAGAAGTACTTTTAGATGTGTCATACTCCTGTGTTCTATTTTAACTAACATTTGATATCAATGCTGATTATCATACATAAAATTCAGAGTATTTTGTCTATAGCACTTTCCAGCTGATATAAGAGATTGTCCTGGTTAGAGCTGGGTTAGAGATAATTTTTCTGGTTTAAATCATGAAGAGATGTACAACACTAAATTAAGTTAATTGATCCAATCTGTTGATAGGAAAGAGTTATTAAAGGAAATGTCCAAAACTAATACTACATTACTTGGCACTGCTTAAGGAAACGTATTCAAAAACAAGGGTAACACTAATTATTAAGTCACTTTTTACATTAAGATCCTTGAATCCTTATCGAATCCTTACAAGCATTCCTATTGTATTAGCCTATCTTCTCCAGACCTAACGGATACCCAAAGAATGAATTGGCAAAAAAATCCTCTCTCATATAATAGGGCTTATGATTTATAATCTTTCCGCATAAATTAAAACAGCACTTATTGGCAGGTATTCAAGCTACTTAGTTTCTCAGAGTTTTTCATCTAAGTTAAAAGAACTCTAAACAACATGCCAAAAACTCGAGTAAACCAGCTGCTATTGTATAACAAAAAGTTTAATCTTCCCCACCTGCTAAAGTTATTGAAAATGAGAAGGGAAAAAAAAGATGAGAAAAAAATCTTCCCATCACAAATGCAATTTAACAACAATGAGCATGAGAACTGATGAGAATGTTAAATGATGAGGTTGCTTTAGCTCTATTTATGGTATAAATAAAGTATTGTAAAGCGACTGTTTTGTAGTCCTAATTAGTAATTAGACTGTTACAGATGTTCGAGCTTCATTTCTGAAACCCAGTCAAACAGCAATTCAACAGAAATAAACTGCTTTTCAAATACAAGCATTTCTTTTTTCTTGCTTTTTTATTTAATTCAACTCTTCTACAGATTTAGAATTATAGAACTAGCGTCTTTAAAAATTGAATTGCTGTTTTGGAAGTCTAAAAACTTCTAACAGTTCACTTGAAAACTGAGATGAAGCATCCTTCTCAAGGATTACTTCAAAGGAAACTTTCTTTTCCTATTGTCTATAAGCAAGCTCATACTTAGCCGCTCTCTTCTCTTGTCTAAAACCTAAACAACAAAAGGTTGAAGTGAAATACAATGTTGCTGTTTCTTCAGTGCAGTAACATCTGCATGAGCATTTGAAACTGCTGAAAAAAAAATTTACCTGCCTACATAGCTGTCCTGCTGCTTTCACTGCCACAATAGGTAGAGTCTTCCTGGTTGTCTCAGCCAAGTAGATAATTTTATTTGCTGGAAAACCACATTCTATACAGAATGAGTTATAATTCAGAGAATCTCAAATTCGCTCATCGTGAAGGATCTTCACAAGAAATATTTGGTCTGAGCAGAATTTATTTCATTTCACTAACTCACACATAAGCTTTGATTCTCTGGAAATTGCAGGGACCCTGTGCAGTGGATGGATCATTCGTCACTGACATTGTGATCTACTTCCTTCCTAGAGTATTCTGAGATTATGGAATTGTCTGTAGCACCACTGTTCTCCATTCCTGTTTTGAGCATTTTGGTTCAAGAAACAATCCGGGCCATTATCACAACTTTCTATGCTAGTGTTAACAACACTTGGTTTCATTGTATTTCTGCAGGAGGACCTAGCAGCTAGCGGGAAGAAAGGAATTAATTTAGCTTGGTTACTGCTAGCACAGTAGGAATGTGAGATTCCAAATGGCCCAAATTATGCTTCATTACTGAGTTTTTTCATGAAAAACACAGGAAGAAAAAAGCATTACACTGTGTCACCCAAAAAGAGTCTTACTCAAATTTGAGCTTCAAAAAAAGTAAGTTACTGCTAGCAGATATGCAAAAGTGTCAGAATTAACTACATCAGTCATAAAATTGAGAAAGCAGACACTGGAAAAAAGTGGTATGCCCTTACAAAGAAATCATTGTTTCATTCCGCTTTGAAAACAAATGTTTTTTCATACTTCTTTTAAAATAAAAAAATAAATCTCACCTTACTGCTTTGGACATTTTCATTTTCTTCAAGGGCTTGTCCTCCTGAAAGCTGTAATCAAGAGAACGTCTTCCTCGAAAGTGATATGAAAATGCATTAAACTGTCCTCTAGTTCTACAGTCTGAAATTAGACAAGAAATTACACATTACAAACTACAGTGCAATTCAGCAGTTATAACGTTCATATGGTTTTAAAGTCTTCTGAATTGGCACAGGCAATTCATACATTCAGCCTGATGCCTCTGGAATCAGTTCGATGGCAGCTGAATACATCTCAGCAACACAACATTTAAGCCAGTTGGATGCAGAGCATTTGATTATTCACAGGCCAGCTTTCTGGTATAAAGTAAAGGAATAAAGATTATTTTCACAAATATATTAGTGCTACCTTAACAATTCTTTTCATTTCTGAAATTTCCACTCACTTGGCATTAATTATTTTCTGCTTTTGGAATGGGGTAGTTATATATGGAAGAGAGCAATGACAGAAAAAACAGCCTGTTGCTTCCTCATCTATTCCAGGCATTATTTGTTATTTTTGGCATCAGAAAGAGAATGTTTAACCTAAATCCTGGAGAAACACTTTCAGACACACTTTGCTAATTGACCAGCCCCATTACCAAGTTTTAGGGATTTGAAGGTATCACTTAGACCCTAAGACACTTCCCACTGCAGAGTGAAAACCTCAAGCCTGAGAAGAATGATGACAGAAATCTTCTCCCAAGACCCTAAGCAGACGTCTTCACAGGATGAAGTATGTCTTTCCTTTGGTTTACTTTATTTAGCCTTCCAAACACAGTGAGTATTTGGAAGAAGTCCTATTAAAAAAAAAAAAAAAAAAAAAAAAGGAAAACAAAACTGGAACAGCACTCTGGAGAGAACACAATGAGAAAAAAATCAAGTTTTCTCATTTCTGTTCACAGAAGTTTTAAACCAAAAGAAACCAACAGCATGTTCAGCTGTTAGAAGCAAAGAATCTGCTAAGAAAACAGAAAGGAAAGCTGAAATACAGAATCCCATGGACGTATCCCAGCTAAGTCTGGTATTAGCAGAATGAGCCCTGAAAGCAACTGAACAGATGAAAAAGCCATTCTTCCTAACATTTCTCTTAACTTATACCAGAACAAATTTATTCAGAAAGTCAATAACACTTTAGAAAGTATTTTTTGTGGAATTTAGTGGTAGCTAGATCGAATGCCTAAAGTATTAGCACAACTTTTTGCACAAGTTTCAGGTCAGTAAAAGAGCCTCAAAACATTGCTGAACAGAGCAACTTGAGAAACAAATGTAAAGTTGTTCTGTGATTATATGAAAATAAGTATCTTAGACTACTTTTGACTGTATTGGACTTTTACTTAGACTGTTACAATTTCCCTGTTTGTCCATAGCTTCATGTCAGTTAAGACAGAGTAAAAGAGAGACCTGCACACACACAAAGAAAGCACTGATTCATTTGCAGTTCAAAACCAACATCTAGTGATCATTCTTGAAAATAATTTATTCACAATTCCCCCCTTTTCTTTCTTTGTCCCACTTCCAAATAAATTTATTACCTTCCTCCTATAACAACAGCACCACCAAAGAACTAGATGATATTTACTGCCAACATATTGTTCATTCTTCTTGTGTGTTCTGCTGTTTCTCACACAATCTTTTTGCTGCTCCCTCAGAAACTGAGCTCTTTCCTACAGGAACAGACTGCTGTGTCTCTAAGACGCCTAGCACGAAGGCATTTTTGATCACCCTTAGACACGTCTATATTTAGCCTTGTGAGAAAAGGGGTCACACTCTGAAGGGCCACTGGAGAAAGAACAAGTTCTCGTCAGAGGATTTTTTTTTTTTCTTAAAGCTTCAAGTTTTCTTGAGTGTCATACAAATTTTAGATTCTCTTGGAAGCAACTTATGAAAGGTTTGTGCTATCCTCCTTTGTTTAATAACTGTTAAGGTCACCTCACATAATACAGATTATTATCTTTTTTTTGTACAATAACACAATGGCCCATTGTCTTTTTTTGTTACAAAGTTGTTTTTTAGAAACAAAGGTCTGAAATCTTGGGGAGGTTTTAGCACCTTAGACTGGTAAATATGAGAACCACATGTTCGGTGGCAGCTCCAAGTACATAGACCTGACATTTCTATAGTTTTAAAAGACTCAAATGTCAACTTGCCAAATGAAGAACACTTGTTCTTGGTTACTGTTTCAGGTACAAGGACAAGAATTGTCACTGCTATGACGTGCAGGACAGAATGCTCTAGCTTTCAAAAAGCCTAAACCAAGAAGTTTACTTCTCTTGCTCTTTTTAAAATCTTTTTTTTTTTAAATGAACAATACATTAGCAGTAGTAGTAAATGAAAAAAACCCAAGCCTAATATTCTGCTTTTCTTCAGCCTACCTAAAATGCCCCCAAATTAGCTAAAATCAGTCCAACTGCACAAAGGCTGAATGTTTAAATGCAATCTAACAATTGTTTTTCTCTATGATGGACAACATTCTTTCCAGAAGCTAGGTAGTGGTACACTGCAATCATCAAGATAATCTGTAAGGAAGCCATGTTCACATCTTCAGAAAATCTTGTTTCCCATAAGATTTTAAAAATGCACCTGTAATACAAACTGGATAGTCAAAATTCTGACGTTAAGATTTATTGGCTACTTCCAATTCCCACTGAATCACCTCTCAAATTCTGGGTCAAGAAGAATTAATCTAACAGATGAAACCAAAACAACTTGAGACACTACAGGAAAGGGAAGAAAATGCAATGTATATTTAATATACATCAAATGCACATGTAATGTAACTAACGCCTCTGTCGGATAGTACTTCAATTCCCTGAGATTTATTGTAGTGAAATAAATTGCTGTTACTGTAAGCATTTGCACATATCTAAGAACTCCTAGTCATGCTAGTGGGAGCAGTAAAAGAGAGGAGAAACACTGAAAATGTCTGGAATGCCAAAAGATTTTTCTGAGTAGATGTTTTCACAAATCAGCTACTTAAAAAATACACAACATACAAAAGAGAATTCACTTCAAATAAAGTCCTACCTCAAAATAGCTGGTATTTTTACTGCCAAACAGGCCACATCCCTTCACATTACACTGCACCTCTCCATTTCTTCAGTTGAATAATAAATATAAATAAATAAAATACTGATTCAATAAAATTTGTAATGATACAGACATACTGGACTATATTAAATGTCCTTCTATTCGAAGTAAAATGGATGTAATCCTTAAAAGTACACACCATGTAACTCTAGTTTAGTAGTTTGGCATACTCTGAATTGCCATTAAGCTAATAGACACTGTCTTTAAATGTAAATTTAAATGTAAAAAGATATACGTGAATGCAGAAAGCAAAATTAAATATGGCAAAATAGAAGCAAATCACAAGATCTGTGTAAAGAGAAAACATGTTCAGGCATAAATTACATCATTTTGGTATTCTGAAGACCTCTTGGTAAGCAACTTCCACTGTCACAAAAATCTTGCAGTGTCACACTGAGACTGCTGTTAACATTTTAAAATGTTGGTCTTCCAAAGTATTTAGCGCTTAGCCAGTGCTGCTTAGTAGAAGTGGCACTGTGGGACATGGTTTAGTGGTGGTGTTGGCTTGATGGTTGGACTTGATGATCTTTGAGGTCTTTTCCAACCTTAATGATTCTATGACTCTGTGTTCACTGAAGATGAAAGGGCATAATAAGAAGCACATCATAAGATACAATACTAGAAGTAAAAGCCAGACATTTTTTAACTTGGAATAAAGCACAATCCCTAAACCAAATAATTGTTGGCATTCTAGAAGCAATGCTTAAATCAAGGAGATTAATGTAGTCAGTACAGAAGCAACTGATGGCCTAATTGTTGGTCTGGTTTTAAATGCAGTTCAAAAATATAGGTCTATCGTAGTGGAAGACTATGTTAAAACTCATTCAGATTAAGAA